AATTTCTTTTTTACTTTTCAAACATGAATTAGATAAAAATTTAACAATTTTCAACACAAATTTTTGTTCTTTCCATCCTCTCCAAAATTAATTTTTCACAGCAATTCCTTTCTTCTCATTCCTCGACACATTTCAATTTCAGATGAAATTTTATCTCATCATCTTGAGCAATATCGCCTCCCCTCAACTAATTTCAACAACTGCTTAACCATGAAATCCAAAATCAACACATAGAAAATCCTAGATCCAATACCCAAGCTAAGAATGGTGAAGCAAAAAAAAAAAAAACAGAAGAAAAGACATGAGGAAACACAGCAACACGCAAGCCTAGGTTCATGACAAACCCAGCAGGTTCGCCTTTCCATATCTGATTTCTAGAAGGAAAAGGTAAAAAAAAAAAAAAAAAGGAAGGCCAGAAGACGGAGAGATAAGACAGAAGGGGAAGAAAATGAGGACAAATTAATGAAGATTTGAGCTTTAATGGAGACGAAGATTGGTGTGAAGATTTGAGGGCTTTGTTGGAGGAAGGGTTGGCAAAGAAGAAATCAAAGGATGAGAGGGGGATTAGATCCAGGCAAAGGTAGAGAGGATTAGGGATTTGGGCTTAAGAAGAAGATGAGGATAAAAGTGGGAAATGAAAAGACAAAGGGAAAATGATGATTTTTTCTTTTAATTATTTTAGAACCTATTGATTACATGAAAAATAAATTTTATTGCTAACTCATCAATTTTGCAATGTGTAATCACACGTCACCATTAAAATGAAAAAAAAGAAAAACAAAACAAAACATTTAATGGATTATTGTGTCACGCTGTGACTTAACTAACAAAGGGATTAAAAATGGGTCAAATTTCAAATTTTAGGAATTAAAAAGGGAATTTTTTCAGTATAAGGACCAAAAAAGGGTTTTTTTCAATAATAAAAAGACCAAAAATGAGTTTTTTTCAATAATAGAAAGACCAAAAAGGGTATTTAACCTTAAAAATATGTGTATATAGACAAATTTAAAAGATTAATTGACAGAATGACTAAAACAGTACATGTTTGTTGAGGGATGAATTTGTATTACTTCGAAGTTGACAATGTGTGTAGCGCCACATCAAAAATGGCCCACATGATCCATTTTCCATATTAAACATGTTGTTTTCTACTTATCACTGCAAAAAAGTTAACATCGCCAGAAGTGGCATTCATCTACTTTGCTGGAAACATTGCAAACACAACCCGCTCGAGCATCTGTTTCTGTATACACGGCCATACATGGCCACATTTGTCTCCATAACATGGTTAGGTATTTTTTACGGTCATGTTCTCTACAACGATGTTCAACATTACACATTTTGGCTCCCTGCAATGGACAAAGGGCCAAATTTGCTATCTCATCTAGTCTCCAGCAATTAACAAAAGGCTACATATTTCTACATATCTTCATTACACCAGCCCCCAGTAACAGACAGAGGGTCGGATCTCTATATATTTTATCTCACTAGTTCCCGAAAATGAACAAAGAGTTAACGCAACTCAATACGATTAGCATAAGGCCGGTAACAGTTGCAACTCTACGATTGAATGGGATGACAACCCTTTCACAATAGAATTCCATCAAGTAGCAGCCGGCAGCTAGCAGTCGCTTGGTGGTCACCCGTTCATGGTGGTGTGGTGCCCAACTAGCAACAACAACCAAGATCACCCTTTAATGGTGCGAGTACAGCAAGAAGGGTCAGCGTTTGTCAGTGATGTCACACCTTATCATATCAGAGGCCATGAATATGACTAGTGTCCCCCCTTTCATGGAGACAACTCCACCTTTCTCTATCACATATTCATCGCTATGGCAGAATTTTACTTAGTGAGATTTACCCCTTCGCAACTTGGCAGATTAATGGGAGTGCTTTTCCGATTCCACATAATTCACGCTTTAGCCATGGGAAAAGCTAGCCATTGTTGTCCCTTTGGTTATAAAAAAGCAATTCATGGCTAACCCTACAATATTTACATGGTTGGCGGCCATGCACGTCATTATTTTCTCACACAAAGGGATAAAATTATCAATCGTTGGTAATCTCAACTCATAACATATATCTTCTATGCTTCCAATGTTAGTAGGTATCGTTGACCAGTGATGCTTGACTTAGGACAACAATATCACAACACACATCCATATCACTTATTCTTTGTCTTAACGCCATGCCAACCATATGCAGCAATGATATACAGGCGTTCACCATGGCTAGTAAACAAAAGGGCGTAATGAGCATGCATCCACATCGCCCTTTTTAATACATAAAGGAGTACCCTTCTTTGCTGCACATATCCATACATTTTGCACTTAAATATTTAAATATATACTTATTTGTATCTTGCTTCAATTGCAAATAAACTCAAGCCCATGAATTCAAGCTCACAAGAATTACTCAGGATAAAATATGGGAGTGGTGGCTTAGCAGGCATGGATGGGTGAATGTTTCCCATCTAGCGAAGCAAGGTATTCGCGCCAACAAAGCTTGGCGCTAGCGATGTTGCCCAACTTCGCCAAAGAGGACTGAGTGGCAAAGACGTGGAAGTGGAACTGATCCCCAAAATCGTACCATCTGATGTTAACTAAAAGCTAAAAATCCTGTTAAAAACTAACTAGAGATGTTGTTTTAGTCTCTATCAACAAGTTGTAATTGTATTTAATGTAAATCTGGCTGCACAAGTTTACATTGTGTTAAGAATTGTTGAAAAAAATTGCATTTTACTTAGGGAATTTTCCAAAACCCAAGGTAGATTTCATGTTTGTCGATTGCACTCAAGTATCCTCCCAAAAATTCCAAAATGGAATTTTGTATGGTTGGTGGAATTACCAAAAATAAGCAATTTCCAGTCCATCGCTAAAACTAGCGAAGATTCATTGGAACCACTAGATAATTCATAATATCAACAGTGCCCAAAGCCATTGAAAGCTTGACAGCTCACCCAGATCTACCTAATAGCCACTGAACACCTCTGGCACATCAACTCGAAAATCACAAAAATGTCATTGCACATGTATATATTATTTTCCCTTCATTTTTCAATAGGAAGAAGACCTCCACGAACCCAACTCTCTTTTACTCATGCACAAAAACCTCCATTTTTCCTTTAAAAGATCCTTCATCTTCAACCTCTCACCCTGCACACTGAAACCATCTAGAAACCACTATCATCTTCATATTTTCTGCACTTCTAGCATTTTAGAACAATTTCCAAATTTGTAGAGTGTCATAGCTGGGAGACAACATCCTGCAATTTTGCTTCTAGGTGATTTTTCTTGAGCATCATAGGATCAGGCTCCAAGGTTAGCATCCGAAACAGGATCAAGCACTCCACTTATAGGCCTCCCAAGCGGTCATCCTTCTTTCTCCCATCACCACTTTCAAGTTTATTCCTTTTGTTCTTGAGGGAGCTTCAAGAAAGGGATTGTTGTATTTTCTATTTACAATATGAAAGTTGCTCATTATAGTGTGAGGATATTTACTAGAGATGGTAGATGTCACATGTATTGTCATTATTATTATGTCATAATACTTTACGTATAAATGTGACTTTCAAGTTGTAATCCTTAATCCCCATGTATTTTCTATCCCTATTGCTCTTGTTATAATGTTTACTTTCTCTTCACTCTTTTGGTAATTGTGTGATCATTCTCAATTCTTAGAATTCCACCATCTTTGCTCAGCCCTCTTCTTCTTGGCTTGGCTAGAAAATTTGTGTTTATCGACTTTGCTGGAAAATTTGCTACTGACCATCATCATTGGGTAGCACGAGATGACCCATGGCACGTAACTTCTAGTATGTGAAACGAGTGCTATCAAAAGGACCCTCCTCACTTTTGTTACGAGTGGCGTCCAAGTCAATCTCCACATCATCTTCGCTATTTACTTATCATCCTGCATCACCAACACACCCCAACAATGTTTATACTTAATGAATTTTTTTAAAAAAAGTACATAAAAAGTTAAAGAATAAAAACTGTGTAAAAACTTAAAACTTAGAGACCAAAATTAATATTTAACCCTTTTTTACGAGCTAACTTTACGTATCAATTACCAATTTGATTTTAATCAAACTTGAAAAATTTTCCCTCTTTTCTATTTTTTAAAAATATTTTGTAATTTTAATTATAAAAAATTAATTATTAAACAATAAAGACCCCTTGGTAATGGGTGCTGATCATTCAATCTCCGCTCGGTTTGCATGGAGTGCAAAATATCAGTGGAAAATAAGCAAATTTTTAGTAACCGAGTAGCCCAAGTGGATGGCCAATGCCCTTTTTTTTTTTTTTTCCTTTTTGTATCAAAGATTAATGGGGCTTCACCAATTCGGAATTCAGCTGGATGCATGT